CTTGATTAGCTTCAAACTTATGTCTGTAATGATCTTCTAAGGCACCATAAGAACTGGAAGTGACTAGCTGAATCACTTCTTAATTACTGGAGTAATAAAATGATTTGGGTTAAATCTATGGAAATGATTGGTCTATTTATGAAACACACACACGCACACTCTTAATATAATTTAATATAATCAACCAGGGCAGTTTTTTTCTGAAAATTTACTAAGCCCTTGATTGCTTTCAGTGATTGGCAGGGCAGAAGATATTTTAAAACTATGATGTTTAAGGATAAAAAGCCATTATTCAGGAATTACGTCAGTTATTGCTTTATGTAATGGAAATAGTAAGTAAAGTTCCACTTTTTAGAGACTTTTAATGTATTTCTTATACTCACTGTCAAAAATCACAATTGATTCCTTTTTTGTTTTATTTAGAGACACTTTTTCAGAAATCTTGGGTCTATTCTGGCCTATGCCTTCTTGGGGACTGCTGTTTCCTGCTTCATTATTGGGTAAGTGACTCTGGTCCACAGAGCTCCATATTTTGATGTTTGTGATGATGGCAGTTAAGATCTCGAGCTGCACTGTTCAGTATGGAGCTACTAGCCATATGTGGCTATTTAAATTAAAATCAAGATGAATTAAAATTAAATAAAATTGCACCCAGTGCCCAGATCTTGGTTTCTAATACAATTCTCCAATAAAAGGAACCAGAGACCCTCCCTTGCAGAAGTAGCTGATGAGCCTGCAGCATCTTGCAGTGCCAGAAAGTAAGGAAGTGTTCAAACAAACAAAAGAATGAGAGCATGTCAAAGGGACACAGGAGCCAACCTGAAAGAGTCCCTAATGGCCAAAGCTGCAATAATTTAAACAACAATATAAATAACATTTTATTGGATTATAACCCAAAGTATGAAATAAGTATCCCTGAGTCCATACTGATATAAATAACGACTAGATGAATAAATAAATGAGGAAGAAGTGACAAGTCTTCTGTCAGAATAACTCCAAATAATTTATGTAGATACAACCTCTCCCCACAAGGAGGTGAAGCTTAGCCCCCTTTGAGTGTGGGCTCACAAAGTGACTTCCAAAGAGTATAGTATGGAAGTAGAAAAATGAGTAACTTTACAGTGGAGAAACCTGACAAAAACACTACCTCAGCCAGGTGAGTAAGGGTAGTATCAATAGTGATAAATCATGTTGATAGGATATACACTTGATGTGATGAGAATGCCACGTTACCTCTGTGGTTTTCCTCATCAAAAAACATAACCTTAGTCTAATCATGACAAAAATCAGACAAATCCTAATAGAGGGGCATCCTACAATATACCTGACCATGACCAGTATTCCTCAAAACCATCAAGGTCATCAAAAACAAAGCAAGTCTAAGAAAACTATAACAGGCAAGAGCAGCCTAAGGAGAAGTGACGACTATATGTAATATGGCCCTGGATGGGATCCTTGTCATCTAGTGCTGCTCTAACAGAAATACCACAAGTGGATGGCTTTAACAAAGAGAAGTTTATTTCATCACAGTAAAGTAGGCTAAAAGTCCAATTTCAGGGTGTCAGCTCCAGGGGAAGG